ACAAATGTAATCTTGTTGTTGTTGTTCTTGACGGATAAATGTAATAAAATATTTGCCAACGACTGAGCACAGGTTTATGAGATTACACTGCATTGATTTGCTTTTAGTGTAAATTTGGAGCAGGGAGAGGAAGTTTTATATGGTGCAGTTGGAATACATCCTGAGATTGGATTGGGTCTCTTTAATAACGCGGAGAAGAATAAGCTTTATCTTACTTCTATCACTAACTATTCAGTGACCTTGGCACCACTTGTTGCTAAATAACAAAAGGGCTAACCCACACCAATAAATCATTCAAAATGGCTGCCCGCTTGTCCTTGTGTTGATTGTGTTGGGGGTCACGGAAGTATCCAATAACAGAACTTGTTTTTCTTTTTGTTAGACTGAGTTTATTACTGCAATGCCTTGGGGAAATAACTGTTATTGCAAGTTCGGAGCTCTGTACGTGCCGGGGATTATAGGGGGAAATGCAGAAATCTGAGAAATAAGAGGCAGTGTTGCTGTGTGTCGCCTGAAGCGAGGGAGCACATGAATGGGCACCCTTGTAAAAGTGCGAGTAATTATCAGTGATGCTTGAGAGTTGGGATGGTGTTTATTAAGCCTGAGGGCTCTATTAATTTCTGACGAGGCAAGTTAATACTGGCAGCCACTGACGATAGCTTTAGCGATGTGACATTGGAATGTAATATCCAATTGCTCAGTTGACCTCCTACATTACTCCTATAAAGGGCCCAGCAGACTGAAGGGCCAATGGTAGAGTTCTTTCAGCACGACGCACTAAATAGCCAAGTGAACAAAGCATATTCCTTGCATTTCTCCTGGACGGATGAAAGAGTACTTACCATGGTTTTACATTGCACCAGCTTCTTTTCCAAGCTGATGCTTCAGTATTGAGGGAGACAGTGGTGTCATAATTTGGATGAGACATTTAATCTGAGATACAGAAGTCTGCGACATGCAAGCTTTTGCATAGGAAATAGTTCAGCTTGAAATCTCTGACATTCAGAAAGAATCTGCTGCTGTATTAGGCAATTTGAGTGGCATCGGGGGCTGAACATTGTTTGGCAGAATGGCCCTTTCTCATTCCGAACTTGGTTCAGTGATCCCAAAGGCTTCATAATACTTTTCTACAGAAATCTAACAAGAAGAAGCGAGTCCAACATCTATGTGGAATACAACTTCTTGAGAGATCATAGAATTATACAGCACAGAAGGAAGCCATTTGGCCCATCTTGTCTATGCTGGCTCTTTGAAAAGAGCTACCCAAATCAATCCCATTCCCCCGCTCTCTCCCCATAGCCCTGCAAACTTGTCCTCCCCAAATAATTATCTACTTCTCTCTTAAAAGTTGTATTGAATCGGCTTTACATCACCCTTTCAGGCAATGCATTCCAGTTCCAAACAACTCGGATGTTTTAGATCAAAGCATTTGAGGACACAATTCTATGCCAGCATGTGATGATTTCTAATAGGATTTTCCAAATGAGGAATGCTGTTCAGCCGATCTAAGTGACCACATCAGAGCAGAGATCCCGTGGGTCCACGGAATTGGGAACTGGAATAAGTCCCCATTTGTGCCACTCTGATTTCTTAAAATATTTGCCCTTTTTTATTAAAAAAAAGTGAAAACACTTGACAGTAATTAGTACTTTCAGTCATTTTGACATAAGGCACTATCAAAGGGCAAGTTCTTCTTATTTTCAACTCCCTCCCCCCCACCGTGAAAACAACCCATTCTGGTTGAAACCTAATTATGGATCGAAACTGAAAACTCTACAACAGCAATCTGGTTTCAAGTTCTGTAAATCGACTAAAGGGACAGAACATGCTGATCATGAGATTTTTAGCCTTGAACACTGACCACCTCTACAACGAACAGCTGTGCCCACAAATCTTGACTAGCCCAGAGCCTTGCACCAAGAACACTTAGTGGATTTTAGTGTGATCACTGGATGTGGTTTTCCTTTGAGCTCCTAACATTATACTTGACCTGGCTTGCAGTGGAATTACTAAACTTCTAACATCTGTGAGTTTTTCTATATATAAAAAAATATAAGATTATGGCCATACATTGCAGAGTCTCTAGGTTGAACTGAGTTAACCAATAGCTGAGGCACCAGACAAGGATTTAATTGGCTTCAATCACCCTGGGTTAGGAAGAACAAAACTCAGGGCTCCTGCTTGCTGTAGAGACTCTCTCCTCTGTTGGAAGGTCCGTGTGGACATTGGGTGAGAATAGGATTGGGACAGTGTTGTCCTTTTCACCCCCTCCCTTACTTGCTCTCTGGGCTCACTGAATGATCCCTTGGATGAGGACACCAGTGACAATATAATAATATTAATAATAATAATCCTTGCATTTGATATAATGCATTTCACGTCCGGAGGATGTCCCAAAGCGCTTCACAGAATATACTGTAAAGTGAATTGACTGTATATTTGTGGGCAAACGCGTCAGCCAATTGCGCACAGCAATGTCCCACAAACAGTTGTAGATTGAAAATGACCAATTTATTATTGTTTTTGGTTTTGGAGGGATTATTATTAGGCGTGTGGAGTAAGGAAACTTGCCCAAGGTTTCGCCCTGCCTGGAATTGAACTCGAGTCTCTCGCTTGCAAAGCGAGTGCTCTAACCACTGAGCTACAGGACTCCACATTATATTATATATATTATCTTTACCTTGCACTGACCTGCTCTGTTTCCAAATGAAAGGAGTGGGGGTTACAATATGCAAAAAGAATCAACGTTAAAATATCTTCTAGATATGTGATGTTAAAAAAAGGAGAAAACATAACCTCAATTGGAAGAAAAATGCTCACTTCTTGAATTAAGTGTGGTATATATTGTTAGCTGAAATGCAAATTAGAACCAAATGTAAATCTCATATATGTGGACACAAAGAAAGCTGGGTATGTGCTAAATGATACTTCTTCACTTATGACTTCCAACTCTTGATTGCAAGCTTTCTTGTCTTTCTTTATCAATACTATCAGGTATCAGGTATACAGTATTGTTTCTCTGGTCTTTCCCCTGTTTTTCTTCAGAAGCTGCATTTTTTTCTCCTACACATATCATCCTACTCAATCTGCCTTTCCTCCTGGTCTACTATTTTACAGTTACCGAATCACTACTTCTTGATTTTTCTCACCTCCTACTTTCTTTTCAAAATATAATTAAATCTTAGGATCTCATTTCTGAGAATTGGCCCTTTTGTGAGTAGCACCTCTGAAATATGCATCTTATTGTACTCCTGGCACCAAAGGTTAAACATGATTGGTTGAGGAGCGTCCATGTGTAAGGATGTAGTTTGGCCTATTGCCTATTAATTACCTTCAGTGGATATTCATGTTCAGTGACGGAGCCCAACAATATAACAGATTATTAATCAATTAAGATACATCTAGCTGCATGAATTGGAGTAAAATGCCTTGTGCTTGCTTGAAGAAATAAACATTTATCAATGGTGTCTTAAGCAAGGCACCATTTTATTGAACTGTACTTTCAAAATGAAATTTACGTTGGGGGGGTGAGTCTGCATGGATTTATCTTTTTAGGGAAGACGATCTGATGCAGTGGATTAGGAACATTGGCCTTTCACTTCTGGAATTTGATCCAGCCAGATTGAAGGGTTAAATCTCATGTTTGTTGCTAATGTGAAGTGAATTTGGAACAGTGAAGTTTGTGTTGGGGCTCACAGCAGAAACTGCCCTTAACTTGACACTAAAATAATCTCAACGAGGCCACAGGACCGCTGGTGTGGGAAATAGAATCTGCCATATTGGTGCAGTAGGGGGCACTCTTCTCATGTTATGGTAATCTCTCTTCTGTATCCAACTGTTCCTATAATGGGAGTACAAAAATTTTTACTTGTATAAAATATGTGCATGTTGACTTAGTATTTTAACTGATAAGACTTCGCAATACACTGAGAAACTCAGTAATATACTGTGCCAGGGTAGACATAAAAGTCACCTGAAGGATAAGGCGATCAATCCGAGCTTGTCTATTCGTAGCCTTTTAAGTCTTTTGTTGCTATCACACTGAACCAGATCTTCCTTTCTCTTTCAAGCTGGAAGTTTAATTGCTCAAAGAGGGTAGAGATTTTTTTTAAAATTTAGAACCTAGGCAAGGAGCCAAAGCTTAGGGTGCAGGATACCAGCAAGGAGGAGAGAACAAGAGCTGTGTGACCACATTAAACCCTCCGCCTGCTTAGCAGGCACTGCCCTGCTTCATGTCCTCTGCCTTGCATACCCCATCATCAATAGTTGGGGTTTCTGTCTTTCTTCCACTGACCCAGAGTTCCTTCGCCCTTCCTCTTTGACAGCACCTTCAGTTATCTTTCCACCCCAACCCCCCACTTGGCCTCACCCCTTCTGAATCCAACCCTCAACTGCCCAGCATCTTAGGACATCCTCACGATGTGAAAGGTGCTATATAAATGCAATTTATTATTGTTTTTGTGCAAATTCAAGAGTTTTACTCTACTCCCCAGTACTGTATAATATATTCTCATTATTTTTCAGATTCTTAGAGAAGGCTCGATAACGAGTGATCTAAAAATTGGATAAAGTAAATGAATGGATTAGAAAAACAGATACTAAAGCCATACAGACCAGAAGCAGTGTGGCTCCAGGCTCTGCTTATGCTGGGTTAGTGGCTGATAATCAGGCAGTAGCAGCCAGGGTTTTCGGTCAAACTTTCAGTTCACAACTCTGAATCCATGCCCTCTTGTCCTGCCTCCTTCAGGGCAAGAGCACACAGGTCTTGAAAGTATTGTGTGGGCTCACTTTCTTGAACCCATTTTAGTTCCTTTCTAAGAATTCCTCTGAGATGTCTCTTTTCAAGTGTGCTGTAGTATCTTTTAAATATTTTAAAAGAAGCAGGATTCGTCCACCTTTGACCCTAAGTTGTGATGATGTGTATGTGGGATGTCCCTCAGCCATTGAGTCTGGTGCTGTTGTCTTGTTAGCTGTTCACATCCAGTAAGAAGGACAACGTATTAAATGAGCATTCAGAATTTTATTCTGATAGTTTACATCATATTGGAAATCACACTCTTGACCGCTCCATTACTATTTTTAATAAATATGTACCAGATGACCCGAGACACAGTTCACCACTTTGATGCGCTGGACGAGATGCTGCTGGGCCACTTGATATAGGAAATTTGTGCCTTTGTGAGTGTTGACATGAATTCTCAAAGTTTCTTTCTGACCAAGTCCAACTCCTATTTTCTGCTTAAGACAGAAAGTTGACGAGTCTTCACACCCAACATTTGATGGAGCCTGTGATCTTGGCCAGCATCTTACAGGAGTCCTGCCTTCACAAACCTTGCTCGCTACACTCTGCACACGGTTGTTCAACAGCTGAATAATAGCGAGAGGACAGGAGTTGTAACAAAGATCCTTAAATGTCTCTTGGTAAGAAAAGAAACAAAATTCACTAGCTTATTTCTGCACTTGTCTAGTTTTTTTTCTCACCTTGTTAGCATTGTGTTGTAGCTGCTGTGGGGGGCTTCCTGCCCTTTGACAATAGCTGTCCCAAGGACTTCTGTTACTCTTGTTCAATCGGGTTCAGGTTCAAGTTTGAGGTTTAATTGCACAAACTCTGCAATTCAAGTGGCGATTGTCTTTTCTCCTTAGCACTGGGGCCTGAGTGAGTGCTATTCAGCTCTTTGTTTTCAGAAGGATTTGGAAGTGATTTGTGTGGCAATTATTTTCAACCAGTATGTCCTGCCATTGGACCCCATTTTTCCATAGCAACAGCATCCAACGTCTTCAGTTGTGTTCAAACAAATTGTGATTCAATTATAAATAATTATCCATAGCTCAAGCGTAGAAAAGGAATGCTGAAACTTGAGTTTAATGCTTATATGGGAATAGGTTAATGTTCACTTTGCTCTTTACAAGGATATGGCCGTGAAATATTGTGCTAGACCTGTATTTACTAGCATTTGTTATAAGGTGCCTCTGTGTCCCAACTGTACCACAACTCCTTCACACCTTGAAAGTTTGCCTCTTATTTCAATACCAGGAATGAAATATGGGGCCAGAGGTCTAAAACTGCTGAAGCCTTAAATGTAAGTGGATTCCCTCCAGCTCCCACCCCCCCACACACACAAATAAACATCAGATATATACAAACTGCCCCCACATTGTTATAAAAAGGAACAAATAACCCTTCCTGTCACCTGAAGTCTCAACAACTTTGTTGTTTGGCTGCATGCTGTCAGTCAGCAAAATAAGGGGTCATCTCCAATTAGCTGTGAAGCAGCAGTAAAGTGTCTTAGGTACAGGAGGAAGCCCTGGGTTAGATGCTGACAGGTTGGGGGCTCAGCTGCCAACTCTGGAAATCCTATCTCGTTTTGTGTCTGCAAGCCATGCGAGTGTTTCTACATACGCACAGTGAAATCTTTAGCCTTGGTCAGGCTTGCTGATCTGCTATAGAGTTCTGATTGCCACTGGGAACAGGAGGGACATGTGCTCAGCTCCTTTGATGGGTAGTTTCCGGCTGCCGTAGTATTGGATTATCTCAGGGATGCTGTCAAACGGTGGGCTGTTTTGACCCAGAATGTATTTATTCTCTTTGGTTCGAGAAAGCTTCATGTGCATGAATCCTTGGTTACTCCTGTGGACAGAGATTTAAAATACAGTTAAAGGCTGATGAGGGATACATGTTGTGTACATGCTATGCAGTTCAAAATCAAACACTTGCAATAATTATAAAGAGTGTAGAGCAGCCCTCACTCATTGCTCTTAGATATAAGTGCTTTCCACTCTCACCCACGATTAAAACATTTAAGAGATGTTCATTGTTTTACACAAAAAAAACCCACTAGATTTTACTACTCTGTGCATACGACACATGGTGTTATTTTTTTGGCAGCCTATGCAATGAATATAAATCAACTTGTCTGCTTCACTGATGGGGGTGAAGTCGCTTCACTTCCAGCAGTTTAAACTCAGCAGGAGAAAGCTCTTTGTGGCACTGCAGTGTCTTAAATTTCAAATCACAGCTAAATCCCTAAGGTTATTGAAATCTTCTGTATTCCATTAAGTCTTAATTTTCCCTAAATTAATAAACCTCTTTGTGCATCTGCTTGTTCATTATAAACCAGGCTCTGCTTCCTGCAGGACACACCCAAGCTAAAGCTATGATGCTTAGTTTAACCAGCACAGGGAGGGAATGAGTGAGTGTTGTGCTCGTGCTCCAGAGGCAGTTTCCTGGGCTGACTGATAAAGAAATGGGAAGTTACAAAAACAGTTCCTCTGAAGCTGCGTTCGTTTTATTTCCATTTTTAAAAAAATGTTGGCATGATGTGCGGAACATTGTTACTGCACAGCACTGACCTCCAGCGTTCAGATTATAGTACATCTGATAGTTTTCTACTTGAATGTTGAAATTGATTTTACTACCAATTTTAGGATGATGAAGTGACATCAGGGGCACCTTGAAAAAAATGCCCTTATTTAGGAAATGAGTTAGGGATTTATTCCTCTTACCTCCAACAATGCACCCCCACTGGAGTGCCTAGACGAGACTGAGCTGATGTTGCAATGTGCAACTTAAAACTGACAGCCTTCTCACCCAGAAACAGGAGTGCTAACAGCCAAGCTGAGCCACATAAACACTTATCGGAGTCTGAGAGATTGAATTAGTTTTGAACTCACTTGCTGGTGTTTTGCTGCAATATTGCTCCATTCTGTATTTTATGGATCAATATTTATTCCTAGGATAAGTGGTTAGGCACATTGTCCCCCTGCTGACAATCACAACACGCTTTTAAAGGTTATGGTTTGTTACTGCCTTTTACACTGTGGTCAATTTCAATGCCTTCAGCAAGTTTTACTCGAATTCCTTTAGGTAAAAGGATTTTTGTCTGGATATCTTAACAGGATTCCTTTATAAATACAGACTCTTTCCAAGTAACCAGATATATCAACCAACCTGTGGGAACTCTGCTCCAAAACAATCCACTTCTGAAGCAGAGTTTTAATGGGAATTCCAAAGGATAAGAAATACTGCATTTTAAGACTACAAGACTTGATAGAAACTGAAGACGATTGCACCACCAGGTCAGTAAATGTACTACCCTGTGGAGAATCGGCCTGATATTTTGCAATAGTTTCAAGCTATGGCAGTATTTAGAATAATTAAGACTATTGCCTTTTATTACACCCAAAGTAATGGTAAACTCTAAAATGGATTTAGATTTCAGTTCTATAATTTACTGAGGGCAACACCTTGCTCTGTGTTTTGTTTTCCCCCCTGTGAAACTGACAATGTCTGATGTCTCTTCTTCAGAGGGCTCTCCACGGTTTTGCATTGTCCTCCACAGCTATCTCCCAGCTCACACTGGCCAGTTTCCTTCCGCAGGAAGAGACAGGCACGGTATGATAACATAACAAGCTTCAAATAACAAGTGGTGCATAGATCTGTGGGAATCATTGCTGGGTCACAGGCTTTCAGCGCAAACACAGATTGGATTTTTTTTAAAAAAACCTTTTAAGAACCAAATAGCAGTGTCAAAGTCAATCATTTTCAGGTATATCAAGACCTAGGCATTTTTCCAAGATGAAACACTTAAAAGTTGAATCTGATCATTTGAACAAAAATCCTCAGTACATCTGAGGGAAAGTGGATGTTTAACTAGAGCAATAATGTCAGACATATTGTATAGAACAAGAATCAATGTATATTTTCTTGATTACATAGAATTATGGAAAATCCTTAAATTCAGTGTAGCAAAGTTTTTTTAAAGTTATATTTAAGAACCAGCTTCTAAATCTGCACAATCTTATATTTTAAGACAATGGGCTTAAGTTTAAAATGGTAAAAAGTGTCAGCCCTCAGGGCTGATAAATTGCAATTGAAGTGCTGGTAAACGTAGAAGAATAGTGACACGCCCAGTGTCTTCCTCAAACTGAAATGACAAATCTTCTCTGAAATCAAATAAGTCACACTTTTACATTGCATTAATAAGACGGTTTAGCCCGGAACTCCCATGTCAGTTAATATTGGTGCACTTTCCATGATAATGGAAAGGAACCACCATTTCCTGCAACAGGGGCTGAATGTCTTGGCAGCTGTAAGACATTTATAACGCAATATGGGCAAACACTGAGTGGACAGTCAGAGATACAGAGGGAACAGTGTACAAAGGAGAAAGCTCGCCCATCTCAGTTTTATTTTGCAGAATTTCACTGGGAAGCTTTCTGGAAAGTCTTGTCAGTATCTGATCATATTGTCTTTCAAAATTGCCTCAAAGACATTCATGGCATTTGGCCACCTGAGGAAATGAGCCCATCAGACAAGAATTTTCAAACAGAACTGTGTGATCTAAGAAACAATTCTCTTAACCCTTGAATGGCAACTCATAGGAATAGAGCAATTGTGAGCTTAGCCATCAGACTAAAACAGTTAAAAACCCACTCACCATTAGGTCTGACCTTAGATACTACAGCTTGACATTGGGGGTACTTGAGTAGTAGATTGGCAGATGAGTGAAATCGATTATATAAACAATGATTTACCCCCATTCCACGTAGTAATATAGAAACCAGCAGCTCTGTTAGATTTCTCTCTCGTTACATTAACAAAGCCCTCTTTGGCAAAGGTCACTACAATTCTATGAGTTACTGTAGGTTTTTTTCATAATCAATTCTGCACACGTTTTAATGAAAGCCTTTGGGATCTGCAATGTGGAGTCATGTTTTGGAACAAACTATTATCTACTAATTGACTATTTTTGTAAGTGGAAGCTTTTTCCCATATGATTGAATCTAATAAAAGAATAAACCCCCATGGAGATTGCCTAAACTTATACGAAGTGCTGAGGTTTATATTGGATTTTATTGATTTAAAATAATTGGTCCCTGTATAAAACACAGCATACTGGAGGGACAAAGTTCCTAAACTTTCAGCCACTATTTCTTCCGTCCCCACAAGTAATATTTGACAGGGGGGGAGCTACCTGTTAGGGTGGAATGCTTTTTAGAAAGCTCCATCTTTCTCAACTCCAGAAACTTGTAACCAAATACATATTTTAGTTATAAAATGGTTTGATTCATATAAAATATCCTGTCCAACTATGACACAATAGTGGGTGTCACTGCAATTATAAGAGGATGGAGCTGTTCAATCGGCAACACATCGATTCGCTAATGCACTCACAGATAGTAAAAACAAAGTCATTCTTCCCCCTCCTCGTTAGATCTGGGAGGCTTCACTGATCAAGAAAATGAAATCAATGCACTTGAAAAACAGATGAAATGGGCAGCTCAAGAGAAGCGATGGCAAAGTCCTGGGAAGTGTGTATCAGCTGCCTCTACATGTGACACTAGATGGGTCTGAGCCAGCCCTTAAATAGAAATAAAATTACAAAAATGGAGATGTGGAAAAGAGAGAGAGGGTGGTAAGAAAGGGGCAACGGGGAGAAAAAAAATCCAGAGTAAGCGCATGAAAGATAGAAATAGAGTCCTGTAGCTCAGTGGTTAGAGCACTCGCTTTCCAAGCGAGACACTTGGGTTCAATTCCAGGCAGGGCGAAACCTTGGGCAAGTTTCCTTACTCCACACGCCTAATAATAATCCCTCCAAAACAAAAAAACAAAAATAAATAGGTAATTTTCAATCCACGACTGTTTGTGGAACACTGCTGCGCGCAACTGGCTGCCATGTTTCGCCCACAAAATATATACAGTCTATTCTGTGAGGCGCTTTGAGACGTCGGGAAGACGCGAAAAGCGCTATATCAAATGCAAGGATTATTATAAATATAAAGGTAGAAGGGCTAAAATGGAGGCGAAAACTAATTCCTTCCCCACAATGACGTCTTTTTTTCAGCCTATTCTTCACCTGATTTACTGGACTATCAGCAGACACGATATTACATTACACCAAAATTCCTGGAGAATTAACTAAATCCTACTGGGGTGCACACAGATCACATTGCACCCGAGCTGAGAAAATTTCTGCTCTGAAAATACATTTACTCCAAAAATACACATTTAAAATCAAATCTACTATTGGTTTGGTGCTGGACAGGGCTAATAGATAGGTATTCACAACAGCTGCAGCAAACAGTATATAGTTAAAGCTGCTTTCTGGGAATAAGCTGGGGTTCATTAGAGAAAATTTTAAACAGAATAAAAAAACTCTAGAATTAATTAGACTTTAATCATACTGGGAACTGTGTCCCGAACACACAAGACAGATTAGCTGCGTTACCGGAGGCTATGCATGCATTTTTCATGAGGTTTTAAGTTGAAGTACTTACAGAATGCATCCACTATCATTGCCTTGTAAAGTACTCGGGATATAGCAAGCTGGGCATAACAAAAGCATAGGCTGCATTATTACATTTTATGCTATGACTGTCACCAAATAGAACACAGAGCTACCAGAAGCTTTTAAGAACTTGTATATTATCTTCTAAATACCATACGGCAGCAAAACAGAACAGGGTTTAGGAAGTAAATCCGTTTGGAATTACAGAAAATACAGCAGTTCAGATTGAAACGTGTATTACATTTACTGAAACTGCAACAATGTCAAATTGGGTGTGTGGGAGGTAGGACTGAAATCCGAGGTTCAGTGTCCACTCTACACAGCCTGTAACCAACTGGAA